CAACATAATATAAAATTTGAATTAAAATTTGATTTTTATCATTTGCTAATTGATTTCCTAATGATTTAATTAATTGATTTGGTAATTTTTGACTATTTTGAACATATTCAAGTAAAAGAAGAAATAAATTCGGTTTATACAAATTTCTTTTTAGAATTTTATAAATTATTTCAAATACATTAATAGGTAATATTTTATTACAAAATGTAACAGCATTTAAATATGTATTCAAATTCAATTCTAAATTAGTACAATCATATTCATTTAAAATTTCTTTTTTAAGAATTTCTTGTGTAATCAATTCTAATTGTACTAAATCATGTATATTTAATGAAATATTTAATTGTTTTCGATCAAATTTGATATAAAATATCAAAACTATACTGACGTACTAATTCATTCGGATGTGTTTGTAATACAATACAAATATTATTAATTTCATATTCAATAAATTCTTTTTTTAAATTTTTATCAATAATTAATTTTAATAATATTGATACATTTATACACAATATATCGTCACGATTAAACAAAAATTCTGTTAATAATATTGAAATACGTTTTGCACAAATATTTTGAATATCGATATCATCATTATTTTCTAATTGAAAGTTTTGAAAAAAATGTTGAAATATAATCAAAATTGTATTACGTATATCAATATCAGTATCATTCTATGCATTTATTAATATTTCTACGAAAATTAGTTTTTAACAGCAGCGAAGAAAAGTGTGCACCTCGACTGGTTCATAAGGAAGAAAATGTGTGTATCGAAGGCTGTGCCTCGATAGCTCAGCGGTCAGAGCAATGGTCGTGAATACCACTGTCCTGGGTTCGGTTCCCAGTCGAGGTGCACACTTTTCTTCCGAATATCAAGCTGCTGTTAAAAACTAATTTTCGTACACATATTAGCTCCTACACTAAAAATTTACATTAATATTTCTACTTCATATTTGGTTAGTATTTGATTATTTCTTACTACTAATTCTATTATAGAACAAGCATATTGACGCATTTCATTATTCATATTATCTTTATCAAGTATATAAATAATATTATGAAGTGGTAATGATCTTATATCATTCTTTTTATATTTAATTATATTATTAAGTGCATAGATATAATTTTTTATTAAAAATTTGATTATCTAATCCTTCGATTAATACATGAATAATATCATCATCCATATAGGTTTTTGTATCATTATCATCACTACGTGTATCATATGTTTGATATTGAATACCAATAATATGAGCTACATATGATCTTTGATCATTAAGATAATTATTCAATAAATTTGTATTTAAATTCATTGATTTAAGTTGATCTTCATTTACATAATATAAAATTCGTAAACAATATTCACGCATTTCTATATGTTTTGATGATATTTCATTGAAAAAATTTGTTATATTATTTAATATTTTCGATGATAGATTATTATCGTATAAATGATTTTCAAGAGTCCGTTGAAATACGTAAGAAGCACAACGATTTATCCAGAATTTATTGATAATATTTCCTTCAACTATTAGAAGGTTACTAAAAATTTCAAGTAAATGTTCATTTAATCTGTAATATTTGTATGTTAAATATAAGAACATTGTAGTTATCGATGCACATTTTAAATAATTTTTATTTACATCTTTAGACACTATTGTTAATAATTCTTCAATGCGATCAATTGTGTATTGTGATATTTCACCGATG